AGTTCAGCTGCAAGCAGGCTTGCGTGACAACGTGTACCGAACAGTCTGCGTTTAGTCGCAAGGCCCACCAAGACCTCTGTTAATGCATGGCGGCAGGTCATGTCGTCTGAACAGCCTGTCTTCGAGTGTTGCCGGTGAAGCAAGGAACGCGTGTAGAACGATAATTCTGCACGCGTTCACTGAGAGAGGCGAGCCGAAACACGCTGCACTTCGTGCTCAGATGGGTTCTAAGTGCAGTTAGGCTTAATGAAAAGCTTCATATTACGAAGGAAGTTGAACCTCACCAGTAAAATGCCACAGTCACGATCCTGTTAAACAGAAAACTGATTAGAAGCCCTCATTCTGGGAGAGCAGCTACTGCTGCGATGGGGGCTTATCTATGGAGAAGCCTAGGCAGACAACCCAAATGGTCAAGAACTTCCTAAGAGAACCCATTGCGTCAAGAGAAACCTTCAAAAACTATCGACGGTCAAACCCAGGGAGCGGTCAGTCTGGCATTAGACGACGGACACCATCGGCAGCAGGGTGTACATTGACATTATGGGGGATGTCTTTGCAGAGGACCCAAATGGTCAAGAACTTCCTAAGAGAACCCACTGCCAAGGAAAGCGAAGAGACGAGTCCCAGGAGGTACGCTTGCTGGAACAAGAGCTTTATTCACCTGACGGTTCGGACTCCTGCCCGAACCCATCATCAGAGACAATAGTAGATATCCCGTGTCTGTTTCTGTCTCTGATGGTGAATTAGAGCAGGAATCCGAGACGTCAGGTGAATAAAGCTCTTGACCCAGCGCTTGTTTTACCTTCTTCAGAACCCACTGCGTCGACAGAAACCTTCAAAAACGGTCGATGCCGGAGAGTTTTGACGGCAGCGGTCAGTCTGGACACCATCAGCAGCAGGGTGTTCACCGAAATTGTGTAGGATGCCTTTGGCTACCACGACATTCACCGAGGTTGAATGGACACTGGGGTCTTACATGGTAGTGCCCCAGCTCATCGCCTGCGACTAAGATAGAAGTTTTTAGACAACACCCAACCTCCCGCCTGCGGTCCCTGAACTACCTTTCCACTGTCAGCGGCCCGGATACAAATTCCCTCGAAAATATTTTGATGCTTACCAAAAGGAAGTAGCACAAGGCAGGCAAGGACCTACCAGTGCAAGACAAGCTTGATTTTATGCTTGGTGAAAACACTGACCGAATGGCTATGGAGAACTTGGCTGTTCCCTTGTCTGACAGACCCAATAATGCATTACACGCAAAAGAACAGTCAAAACTGTACGCATATTGTGTATTTGTCATCCTTTTTCATTGCTTTCTCGTTGTGATGCAGTGCCGTTCGCTATGCACCCGTATTTACAGTCTTAAACAAATCACATGTAATTTGTCTGTTTTCCATAATCCCGAGTTTCTGTAAAAGAAATGTGTTTCTAGGTTGTTGAATAGTCGTTTCTGAACCAAACTCTGCCTCCTTTTGAATGCTGATCGTTCTTTTCATGATAAAAATCGCAGTGGGAGAAATTCATAACGCCTACTGCATCTGTGGAAGAATACTAAAGTTACGGAAAAAAATGTGACTTGAGGTTTTGCCAGCCGCGTAATTTCCAACGTTGCAAGTGACACCTTCGACCAAAACGCGCCTGCACTTTTTCAGGAAACCTGATCTTTAGATGCGCACAAAAATCGGAATGTTTAAAGGTATCGGACGATTTCAGCAGGTTTGTGATCCATAGATGGCCGGCTACTCAAAATGTAAGTGTCACAAGTCACTGCCAAAGGAAAATCGAGGTCACTGTGCACGAACGTTATGCAGTACAGTTGGCGAAGTCCTGCTTGTCCTTATTCTGACGGCGTTTATAGTTTATCGAATTTCGAAGGATTGTATTTTCCCGAGGTCCGACCGCGACTACGACACTAAACCTAACCCAAAACCTACTACAAACCCTAGCTCTAATCCTAGGCCTAACCTTAACCCTGACTCAAATTCTAACCCCAACCTTAACCTTAACCATGACCCCAACCCTAGCCCTGATTCCAAATCAGATCTAAACGCTAAACATAAGCCTAAACCGCAACCGAAACACTAATTCTAACCGGAAGCCTTAAACTGAACACAAATCCTAACCCTGAACTCATTTCTCAGCCTGAAACTAGCCCAAACCCTAAAACTGTCCGATCACTTGTCGACCTCTCCCCTCATACTTTGATGGTATTGGCGATTGTTTGAGAAGCATTACGACCATGTTTGAACTCATGCAAGAAAAGAAAACGCACTTCTTTATAAAGGGCTTGTATGCTTTAAAATTGTGCCTTAACGAAATAATAGGAGAATTATCAAAGAGTACGCATTACTCATTAAGCCCGTAAAACCTAGTGTAAAACACCACAAAATAGCAACTACTTTTAATTTTTAAAAAAACTAGTCAAAAGATCAGCGAGTATTTTCCGAAGAACCCGATATCACAATATGGTGCCATGGCCTGTTTTATGAGTTTGAACTCCAGACACTGGCATGAAGACTTAACTTACCGTGGCGGGACTGACTTATGTATGTGGACGTCTAAACGGAACATGGAAACAGGAGCACTCCGCCCAAGTAATAAAGGTGAACCTGTTCATAATTCTAGAAATGGCAAAATATCCCCACATCCTAACCCTAACAATAACCCTTATATAAAAATAAACCGTTACTCTAGTCGTGTCCCCAACCCTACGCCGACCCTTAACTCTGCAGTTAACACTGCCCCCTGCCTTAACCCTAAACTTGGTCCTGGCTTACCTTACCGTTAACTTTAAATCTGACCTTGAACCGAATTTTTAACTTAACCCTAACCCTAATTTCACTGGAAGTTGGTCCAAAACCGCCCGTATTGCAGGCGTTCCCTGTTCTAATGTCCTGTTTGGGGACCGCATAAGCCAGTCCTACCCTTACCATTTCTAACGCTCTCATTGCCCTCAGCAATTGGTTCAGGCCAATAAACACCGCTCACGCCTGATGTTTGATTGCAGTTAATTAATTTTGCACAAATCCGGCCACCACCGTGTCAGTCCCTGGTCCTCTTAAGGCAGCGAGGGCTGGCCGACACCCCCTGGTCTGGTGGTAAGGTCTTGTTGGCTGTCCTGCTATCAGGTCACGCCCGCGTGCAGAGCATGGGAGAGACCCTATTGGCTGTCGCATACGCCTGATCTGATTGGTCCGATCCTCCCTTGCACCCAGCGGCTACGAGTAAAGGCGAGGACTACTTGCAGGGCGACCATTCTGGTCTGCGAGAAGGCACTGCAGTGGCTGTTTAAGGTTGGCGGGATTACTACCATGCACCGATCGCGAGCAAGATCATCAGTCCTCCGTGGTCTTCCACCAGCTGCTTTGGTCTGCGGCATAAGCAGGCACGTCTTTCGTGCCAAGTGCGGTGGACCTGCCTGCGGTGGCTGCCGTCATTTGTCAGCCAATCACCAAAAGCAGCTGAGTCAGGACTCCGAGAAGGTTCAGCGCATTTTACAGCTTCAGCCGCGGGTGTCCGTCAGCGCGACCGTGAGGCCGACCTTGGAGACACGCAAAGTTAGTTGCCCTTTGGTATTCGTGGAATCTTTAACTCAATTGGAAGTAAGTAGACCCGAATGTCCGAGAGTCTCCACTGCGGACGCCAGAATGAGAACGGGTAGGGCAGGGGAATATGAGTCCCAGGTCAGACGCGATGAGAAGAAGCCCGCAACTAGCCCTCTTAGCAGAGCTGCCCCACGAACAGCAGGTGATGACTGTCAGATTTAATTGTGGCACCAGAGAGTGGTCACGCGGTTGTAAACTAGGCGAAGTGCCCAGTCAAACAGTGGACAGCCTTCCTGATCATTTCGTACTGACCTACAAACGCCCTTTTGACGGCCGAAATGGAGGTTACTCTTAGGAATGATAAAAAAGAAACTGCCTTCGTGATGAATCACGCACACTACGTCAGCTATTGAGTTTAGATATATATGTATATGCATATATATACAGTGCGTGACCTATCTCATGAAATGTTGGCTGAAATTCTGAAATGCGTTTTCGATTAGGAAGGATTACTTGGTCGCGGTTGTAATACTGATTATCATAAGGCATACTCTTAGAACACTTCAGACTCGGCAAAATGTCGGCTTTTAAATACACTTCTTTTAAATCTCCTGTAGAAAGCGTGCTCGGCAAAAATGACTACTTAAGAAGCATGCATTTTTCCCATCGATTTTCGATGGTCTTGGAAATTCAAATATATTTTATAGAAACCGTGAACAAAAATATGCTTTCTTTTAATCAATCAATAGAGAATCACGTCTTCTTTATATTTTATACTTAAGGAAGGAGGATAATTCGGTTTTAAAAAAATTTTCTAATTGCCGAAAAATTTGGAGCCTGATCATTCGTTGCATTAGCGCTTAGTTATTACACTCTACAAAGTGCATGCGTTCCGCGAAAAGAAAATCCCATACTTTTTTATGTCATTAAAAAGATATCATACAGGGTCCATAAAATTTTGCAATGGATGCGGACCATGTTGTACATTTCATGAGGAGCAGTGGTAAACGGCCAGGTACGATGCTATGTGAATGGACATATCGCGGTTTTAAAAAGTCTCATAATTAGAAACTTTTTTTAAAACCTAATTATTCTCCTTCCTTAAGTATAAAATATAAAGAAGACGTGATTCTCTATTGATTGATTAAAAGAAAGCATATTTTTGTTCACGGTTTCTATAAAATATATTTGAATTTCCAAGACCAGCGAAAATCAATGGGAAAAAGGCATGCTTCTTAAGTAGTCATTTTTGCCGAGCACGCTTTCTACAGGAGATTTAAAAGAAGTGTATTTAAAAGCCGACATTTTGCCGAGTCTGAAGTGTTCTAAGAGTATGCCTTATGATAATCAGTATTACAACCGCGACCAAGTAATCCTTCCTAATCGAAAACGCATTTCAGAATTTCAGCCAACATTTCATGAGATAGGTCACGCACTGCATGTGTATCAAGTGAATAGTTTCAGAAATTACTCAGTGCAGGACCTGGAGTTAAATCTCCGGGACATGTATTTTTAGGGTCAGAACCAAAATTTCAATGAACATTCGAGTCGAAGACAATCAACTACTGTGGAATAACCACGTAATACCCATTCTACAAACAAGTAGTACTACGAGTAGTATGAATTCTATATGGTGGTTATTCCACAGTAGTTGATTGTCTTTGACTCGAATATTTATTGAAATTTCGGTTTTGACCCTAAAACGTCATGTCCCGGAGATTTAACTCCAAGTCCTGCACTGAGTAATTTCTGAAATTATTCACTTGATTCCTCTCTGGAGTTCATATTACCAGAAATCGCATAGAGAACACTGGGGGTCCCACTTAAGAGCAGAACCCCTCGCAGCGGCAGAATATCGGCGAACCACGTGCCTGGGCTTTCAGCAAGTATCTGTGTCGGGAGTACGGTATAATACCTTTACCATATATGTGTATATATACTATCTTGCATACATATACATATATGGTATAAAAACGCTTAAACATCAGACTACAGGATGTGCCCGTCCCGTTTTGTTTCGGAATTCTTCCTAGAACCGCCGCTGGTAGTCTAATAGGCGGGAACTGGATATGTAAGTCCACCGAGAAAAAAGAGCTCAGGGACTCCTGTAATACGAGAAGGATTCTAATATCCGTTTTATCAGCGTGACAATTAACGGAGTGTGCGGAGGTCATTCAGAAAACTCAGATTTCTGCCACCTGTTTGTTTTAACATTCCAATGAGGGGTCGGGGCAGACCGCGCAGTTTGAAAGATGCAAATTGTGGGCGCACAAACGGGCGGTTTAACAAAATTTTGTAATTACGAGTTCTCTTAAGATCGTGAGATGCTTATTCTAATAGCGCCTTATGTGTCCATTTATTAATGCTACTTGTGAAGTATGCAATGTAGTCCACTTATTTTGCGAAATTTTATGATTCGTATGCAATATCTTCTTAATAAAGTCGATAAATTCACGATTTTCCCTACCCTCAAACGAGTACAGGAGGAGTATTTTTGTGTAGGTTTCTTATGCAATTTTTTCGACTTTTAAGGAGCGTCGACAAATCAGCAGAAAAGTAATACTACTTAAGTAGCCGTTCTTTATCGAGTGTAGTTTTTTTGCGGGTGGCTGGGAAGAAGCGCCTTCAGAAGCCCACATCCCGGCATAAATGATTATTAATAGGTATTTTGGCAGATTTTGAATAATTCATATTGACCCAACTATGAAAAACTCGGCGCCTCGGTGGGATTCGAACCCACGCAGTAAGGAGAAGGCTTTAGTACAGCCAACGCTTTAACCACTTGAGCTACGAGGCCCCGCCGGACGACTCGAGTTTAATCACATTTGGGTCAAGTTTTACCCGCCCAACCTACTGCAACGTCTGGAATCCACCAAATCTGATACAGTGGTTAGAGCGTTGGCTGTATTAAAGCCTTCTTCTTACTGCGTTGATTCGAATCCCACCGAGGCGCCGAGTTTTTCACAGTTGGGTCAATATGAATTATTTAAAATCTGCCAAAATATCTATAAATTACGTGAGTCTAGTAGTCATCTGGTGGATTCTATTTGAATTACTTAGGAAATACAGCTTGGGCAGTCAACTTACTGTATCAGATTTGGGGGATTCCAGACGTTGCAGTAAGGTGGGCGGGTAAATTTGACCCAAATGTGATTAAACTCGCGTCGTCCGGTGGGGCCTCGTAGCTCAAGTGGTTAGAGCGTTGGCTGTACTACAGCCTTCTCCTTACTGCGTGGGTCCGAATCCCACCGAGGCGCCGAGTTTTTCACAGTTAAGTCAGTACGAATTATTTAGAATCTGCCAAAGCATCTGTGAAAGAGAATCGTTTAAATAATCGGCTCCACTATCTAGTTAACACCTGCATTCGCCAAGCGCACCCCCAAGGTCATTCTTACATCTACTATCCGTGCTCTATTGGACATGGGAATTGGAACCCCAGCAATACAAGTAACCTCGCGTTAAATTCCAGGGGGCTACCTATTTTTACGTCACGACTTCAACCGTAGCCCTACTCCTGACCCCTGTGGTATTTTTCTCAAGGCTACCTATTATTATCGGGGACCCATATTCTCCTACCCAACTCCCATGCAGGTATTATGGTGGATTAAATTGAGTCCGTCTCTGTGTCCGAACCCTACATCTCGACCTCTTTGTAAATCGATGACGGAAATCGGTCGACTTACAAATACAGTAGATGTGCTAACTCGTGAAATATTAACTGAAATCCTGAAATGCGTTTTCGACACGAAAAGGCTGTAGTACCAATTACGGTACAGCACAATCCCATGATATTTTGGCTACTTTGTCGACTTTTGACCGGATATCTTTCTGGCGGGCAGATTTTGAGACCGAACTGTGAAAAACTCGGCGCCTCGGTGGGATTCGAACCAACGCAGTAAGAAGAAGGCTTTAGTACAGCCAACGCTCTAACCACTGTGCCAGATTTGGTGGATTCCATACGTTGCAGTAGGTTGGGCGGGTAAAACTTGACCCAAATGTGATTAAACTCGAGTCATCCGGCGGGGTCTCGTAGCTCAAGTGGTTAGAGCGTCGGCTGTACTAAAGCCTTCCCCCCTTACTGCGTGGGTTCGAATCCCACCGAGGCGCCGAGTTTTTCATAGTTGGGTCAATATTAATAAATGATTATCTCGTAAGATAGTAAATACTACAATCCCACTTAAGTAATGCTTTCTAATCGAAAACGCACTTCAGAAATTTCGTTGATATTTCACGAGATACGTCACCTACTCTGTATAATCGGTAATAAGTTCTCCTTACCGCACGCTACGTGTAGACGGACTGTGTAACTTTGTCAGTCCCTACGCCCGAGTCCACCTCCTTTCGCGCTGACATTGTCTCACCATTGAAGCAAGGAGGGTGATAGAGAGAGAGCGCGATAGATGAAGGGAAGGTCAGGCTCACTGTAAATTTATTCACGCGCAAGCCACCAGTGTTGCCCTCGGTGGGTTTCGTCGCTTGCGACAGTCGAACGGTCACATGTTCGGGCATCTCGAGCAGGCTAGACGACCTGTTGTCTCTCTGTGTGTGTGTGTCTACTTTTGAAGTGTTTAGTCATCCTGGCCCTGCCAACTGCTCCAAGTTGCTTGGTGGTTTTATGCTCCCCACCTGATAGTCTTGAATGAGGCTGCGAAGCAAAACGAAAGGGGTGTATGCTCCAGATTCTGGACATTGTCCGTACGCCCCCAGGAGCCCACGGATTCCCTTCCCCCGCCGCTTCTGGCTGAGGCGTACTGTCTAACCAGTAATCAGTATGGAGTTTTCGTCTGCCTATTTTGCGGTGAAACTACCTACTTTGTGCAGGAGCGTGTTGAGTCCCAAAACTGGGACAGATCACGTGATCTGCCTGTTCACCAAGACCGCTCTAAGGTGCACTAGACTGAAACGAGGTCCCGCGTGTTCATGAAATACGGACTGCAGCGGGACTGCATGAGATCTTAGCTATTGCCGTGCGTGGCTGGAACAGACCACTGGCGCGTGGGTGTCGAAGTACGATATGTCGACAACTCGAAAGTCCCCAAATCAGAAGACGGGGAAGACAGTTGTGTTATGATTTTTGCCAGATATGTCGTCAGGTATTCCCCTCCGACTAATTTCCCCGCTCCTCCTGCTCCTCCTGCTCCTCCTCCTCCTGCTGCTGCTGCTGCTGCTGCTGCTGCTGCTGCTCCTCCTCCTCCTCCTCCTCCTCCTCCTCCTCCCCCTTTCCCTCCCTCACACTATTAATACTACTACTACTACTACTACTACTACTACTACTACTACTACTACTACTACTACTACTACTACTACTACTACTACTACTACTACTACTACTACTACTACTACTAC